ATATTATGGTGGGTTTTACTGTATGTTAATTATGTCTGTTTTGTATACACACCGAATTTTTAGGATTAATTTAAACTCAATTTCAGGAAAAACTTAATTTGGACTCTTATGAACCCACAAAAAAAAAAAAAAAACAGATGCTATTGAATAAATTGTTGCTGTTCTCAGATATCATCTTTCTAGTCAAAAGATTATATAATTTGAAGAACAATCGAAGACACCTTTAAATTGAATCAACAAGTTTTTTCACGACGACAATTAAACTGTCTCCATCTTAGTCGAATTTGCAGCTACAGCTTTTGTGTAGATAGGGTGAAGAACATGACCATTCTTTGGATCAACATGAATCCATTTGCGTCCAGTTATCTTGTCTTTCTCAAACCTCACTCGTCCTTCCTTCAACGCAAACAGAGTATGATCCTTACCTATCCCCACATAATCCCCAGGATGAAACCGAGTTCCGCGTTGTCGAACTATTATGTTTCCCGGTATCACACTCTGCAAAATCACACACAAACGCATTCTTTTATTCACATATACCAAGATTGGTTTGATTCTCTGAATCTTATTCAACTCAGCTCATTGTTCTTACCTCTCCTCCGAATTTCTTAACCCCGAGATTCTTGGGTTTAGAGTCACGACCGTTCTTTGTGGAACCAGCGGTTTTCTTTGTAGCCCAACGCTTAAAAACAAAACTCAACCCGCTCGAAGGACAATCTTTAACATCCCAAATAAAAACAACAACACCAAATGAGTTAACCAGAGAAGATCATCAAAACACACACACAAAGATTCCGAAAACCGCTAAATAAGTATGTATATACCCGAAATGCTACTGCCACCGTAAGCAGGAACCTCGGTGATTAGCTCCCTCAAGCTAACTCTTCTGCATATTGATGCTGCCGAGTTAAAGAAATTCATTTTTTTTTCAAAATCTGCAAGAAAAGCAAAGAGCATCTCATCAAAACATATAGCAAATACAAAAAACGTTTCACAAAATCTTTTCTGAATCTTTCAAAATCGAAAATCACAAACACAGAACCTGTTAATCTTGTGTTCAACGATCAATAACTGTTCAACCTCAAAAAAGTATTACAAATCAGATCCGATTCCTCTAATTCTGAGTCAATAAACCGATCGAAATCCTAATTTTCCGAATTCGTTATCAAATTAGAGATTTTCTAACCGGATTAATGCTATATCTGAAGATGAAATCGCGAGCGTAAAGATCCCAGACCTAAGCCGAGACCAATTTGAGTCTAATCGTCCGATTTATCCAACCCAGACGGAATCGAAACTCTCAAGGAATGCGTAATAAGGAAGGAAGGTACTTACCGGAAATTTTCGATTCCAGTAAAATGCGACCGATGACAAACGTGAC